TTAGTCTAGTCTGAAATTAAAAGATTGAAAAAATTGCAAAGCAACTACCATGATAATTGTGTTCAACTGTGTTCACAATTTTCAAATCAAATTTCACAGAGGATCCATAATTCCCAAATAGTTTTGGCCTCATACAAATAAAAAAAGTCCTACATAAAAGTGCTGCAGGGACACATTGATACTTCAGAGGAAGTTTTGAAATGTTAATGAAATCCTCTGTGGTATGAACCTGCAGTTGTTAACATAAAAATCAAACAAAAACAAAGTCACTTATATGGATGATTGATCATGAGTTTGACACTGTTTCTGCTGTCAAGCCTCTGATGTTGTGCCTCCTAAAGGTCCATCAGCGTGTGCCTCAACATCGGACAAACTTGATGCAAATAGACTCCCACAAGACGGTGCTTCTCATTTCCATGCAGTCCTTTCTACTTCCGTTGTTGGCATCCCTGGCAGCCTCCTACAGTCATAAATAATTTAAGAGCTCATGAAAACACTGTAAATTGCAAAGTCAAGTGTTTTTGTTTCATGCGGGCGAGGGCAATGAAAGGCAAATGCAGAATATTTCCTCAGCACCAATCAATGATTAAAAGCTGTCCGGGTGTTTTTATGTTTGTTAGATAAGAAATAAGAGGACTGACAAATTAAATAAAAGTAAAAGTCGTCTCTGGACAAGTTTGTTTGACTTTACTTGAATAACTGACTTTCAACATACAAGCTCCAGTTTCTCCATTGACAGCATTTGGAAAACAATTAAAAGTATAAAAGTACCCTTTACAATATCAATATGAATCTTCACAAACAAAGTTTACATTTAGTTATAACTCACATAATAATCTATTATACGAGATCAGATGGCATGTTTTTACTGTAGACTACAACAATCACATGTGCTTTGAAAGATGTCATTGGCCAGTGGACACACAAAACATCACAAAACAGTGAAAGCTACTAAACAATACCAAACACTAACAAAGACTATTTCAAAATCAGGGCCAGATGAACACATTTTAGGCCAACAAAATGTAACAATGAACTTTCATGAACTGAAAACACTCTGTGAAAGGGTTACATTTCTAAGACGAAAACATGTAGAGCACCCAAACACGGAAAACAGTGCCAAGTGTCAATCACAATGTAGACCCGCCTCAAAGCATATGCTGCTGTATCGTCTTTTTGACTCTACATAGGACCACCATAAACAAAATGTAATGAATGTAAATTGTTAACTTCCCCTGATACTAACCGTGATTTGTCACAGCGATGTCATCAGGGGTCACTACTGTGGCCCTGAGAGATCAACCTACGCAATTAAAAAAAACATCCTAAAGTTAAAATGACCATACTGTTAACATTTTGCCTATATGTTTTAGCCTGCAAATTCAAAACATTTGATGAATATAACCAAACACATTATTATTATGAACCTAATTATCATACACTAATTACCACAGAGTAAATCTAGTCCATTTTGCCTGGCTGGTAATTCACTTTTGATCATAGAAAAAACAATGCCTACAATCTTTGCACACGGCACAGAGAAATATAATATTTGACATGATGCACCTCTATTTGAACGTAGGCCACAAGATTAGTGTACAAGATGCACAGTATCACATTTAGTGCTCCAGTGCCATTGTAAACATACATACATTAATGAATAACTCTGACGACTAAAGATAATGCAATATACACTGAACAAAAATATAAACGCAACACTTTTGTTTTTGCTCCCATTTTTCATGAGATGAACTCAAAGATCTAAAACATTTTCTATATACACAAAATAACCATTTCTCTCAAATATTGTTCACAAATCTGAAAAAATCTGTGATAGTGAGCACTTCTCCTTTGCCGAGATAATCCATCCCACCTCACAGGTGTGGCATATCAAGATGCTGATTAGACAGCATGATTATTGCACAGGTGTGCCTTAGGCTGGCCACAATAAAAGGCCACTCTGAAACGTGCATTTTTGCTTTATTGGGGGGGTCTGAAAACCAGTCAGTATCTGGTGTGAGGGGTAGGGTTAGGGTTAGGGTAATGTTGTGAATCGAGTGGCCTGTGTTCGTCGTCCATAACATACGCCTGCCCATACCATAACCCCACCACCACCATGGGCCACTCGATTCACAACATTACCCTAACCCTAACCCTCACACCAGATACTGACTGGTTTTCGGACCCCCCCAGACCCCCCCAATAAAGCAAAAATGCACGTTTCAGAGTGGCCTTTTATTGTGGCCAGCCTAAGGCACACCTGTGCAATAATCATGCTGTCTAATCAGCATCTTGATATGCCACACCTGTGAGGTGGGATGGATTATCTCGGCAAAGGAGAAGTGCTCACTATCACAGATTTTTTCAGATTTGTGAACAATATTTGAGAGAAATGGTTATTTTGTGTATATAGAAAATGTTTTAGATCTTTGAGTTCATCTCATGAAAAATGGGAGCAAAAACAAAAGTGTTGCGTTTATATTTTTGTTCAGTGTACATTTCCTGTACATGCCTCTCACTTTTCATTATGCAAATGTTCAATCAGGGCAGATTACTTGATATTAATGCGGGAGCATTGCCTGTCCTTCATGCTTTGTTTGTTGTCTCTGCAGAGCACTTCATTTGTCCCTTGAGTCCATTTTGAAAATAGCTTTTTATCACAAAAAATACACTTCAAAGCCCTTAAGCAGCTCCTGAGCAATTTGGGTGAATTCAGATGCATCTAATCTTTTAAAAAACACTCAAAATCTGAAGGACATTGTACATTAAATACAACAACAGGAGAACATGAATTGTGGATAGGTGTGAGTTAATATATCAGGAGGCTTAAGGACTTGGATGAATAAACAAAGAGAGACAAAAAGCACAGAATGTCAGATGTGTTTTAAAATCCATCCACTGGGATTGTAATACATCCACTGGGATAAACCTCCCTTCCGTGGGCCTATCATGACAATCTGACAGATTCTTGTTAGCCTTTATTTTGGTGCGACACCGACTGTAAAGCAGTCACTGGTGTTTTACGCTGCATGAGATTAAAGTCTCAAACAATCAGGATGGGACTGTTCTGCTGAGTCTAGAAATAGTAAAACAACAGACTCTCAATCTGTGCGCATGGTAATACTCTGATGTCTGACTACTGTGAAATATACCATAAAAGGCCTTCTCTCTTTCCTATGAAACAATTCCTTTATTAACAATTGGGATTTAAATGGATTTATTGCTAGTAATGGTTGATAAATCATTTACATTTTTAGTTTGAATCAGTTATGGGCCATTGATAGGTACCAATTTGGGGTTAAGCAGTTTGTCAGACTCTCTTGACCAAAATCTCAATAACAACAATCTATTAACTTTAACAGTGTCATATTTCATTATATCAATAATAATAGCAGTCTTTTCTCATAGTTAAAAATTTATTTGTGGATTTACATGAATAACTTCATTCTTATCAAATATAAAAATGATAAACACCAACTCAACATTTACAACCTGAAATTCCATTATGAGTTTGTAATTAATGGCTAATAACTGATCTATAAAGCACGAGTGCAGTATTCATCAGCCATTATTATGCCAATTTCTAAGCCCTTAATTTTCATACAGTCATTTGTGGCAGTCTAAGGACTTCACAATGAGTAAAGATAAAATCAAACCACTGTTGTTAAGTGGAATTACATTTCATGGTGAGCCCTGAGGAGGCTGGCTGATAATAAGAAATGTTAAACATATCACACTTGAACATGCTGATGTTTGTCAGTGACTGATCTCAAAGGCTGCACTTCAGTGTTGTCAGTAAACCAGCAGGACACTTGGTGCACCCTGTAGTAGATAAAGGTTAATGAAAGCTCTCAGTCCAAAAGGGAATAGATTCACACTTGAGCTGCTCTCTCAGAGTCCTTTCTCATCTGTGCATCTTTGAAAGTCAGTGCTGTTATTCCCTGTAGGATTGGCTCAGAAACAGTCGCTTTCCTTTTTACCGCTCCAACCTTCGTCTGAGGAGTGGATTTATGTTTGCAATATAATTTCGGTTGTTTTTGTGGGGAGTTTTTTGTGCGAAAAGACAGTTCCCAAACAGACACAGACAGAGGTAGAGACATGCAAATAAAACATAGAAATAGGGACAATCATCTTATAATATAGAGAAATTAGTCATATGTCTCCAGAAATATGACTAATATAACTAAACTGAACCACCAACCAAAAAATAAGAAGGATTTATGCAAGCCAGTTTCCGTTGCTAAGAGTGGTTATGTAGGGTTTTTGTGTATAAGTCTGCTTGTATCAATAACTGAAAAAGGAAGATATATAAGATGGAAAGAAAACTGAAAAAATGCACCAACACATACATAGCAAGTAACATCTGCAATTTGGGCCTCTGGGGTCCCATCCATCAGAGAATAAAATGATCCGTATGGCAAAAAAGGAAAACAAAAAGTGGCATTGACAAATAACATAACTTCACTTACAGAAATGTATATAAATGAATGAACCAATGAAAGACTCAGTGGCTGGATCTTAAGCATGTGTGTGATACCTCAGGTGTGCTTGGCTGGGCCCAAGTTTTAGGAGACAAATATAATACAAATATGAATCCTTAAATAAAACTAATTACATAGTAACAATCACTGAATGGTTTAACAAACATAAATATTACATTATAACATATTCCCATCCAATTAATATGTATAATTTATCATTATCATCATGACTATAGGGCAATGTGAATTGAATAATGTATGTTGAGTGAGTAAGTAAGTGCATATTGCACTGCAAATGTAAAAAAAATGGCACTTTTAAAATACATGTTACTTAGGCCTACGCATGGTTGACTTTTATGCTAAAGCTTCATACCTAGTTTTTTTGTTTTTGTTTTGAAGGGTATCAATCTCCAAAGCTGCAAAAACATGACTTCACAGGCCACAAGTAACTTCCTTATTGGGCAAGAACATCGACATGTGTACGAACAAAAAACAAGAAAGGAAAAAAGTCCACTGTGATTAGATGACAGTGCAGCGGTAGTTGGGGTCGTTGGTCGTACTGGAGCCGTCCGTTTTGACCACCGTGACCTTGGAGGAGTGCTGGGAGCTGTAGAGCGCGTTCCTGGAGCAAAGACGCTCGCGGTAATTCTGGGCGAAGATTAGCAACATGAGTGGGTTGATGCAGCTGTGGGAGTAGCAGAGGCAGATGCTGATGTTGTAGGCGTAGATGAAGGCCAGATTCTGGTTGTCGTTGCTCAGGTTGATCACCTGAATGACGTGGTAGGGCGACCAGCAGATCAAGAACAGGGCGATGACCATGAGGACCATCTTGGTGGCTCTTTTAGCCCAAACGGACTGCTTGCGCTTGACGCGGCGGATGGAGCTGAAGACGTGGTAGAGGGTGAGAGAGTAGAAGGTGCTGATGATGAAAAGAGGGATGATGAAGCCCAGGATAGACTGGTAGAGAGTGTACCAGTACATGTCCTCAGGTCCTTCCAGGTCTATTATGCACACCTCAAATTGCTGCCTGCGCACGGCCTTGGCGTACAGCATGACGGGGACGGTGAGGAGCATGCTGCCCAGCCAAACCAGCATGTTGATGATGATGGTCCACTGGATGGTCCTCTTCTCGGAGGTGGGGTGGACAATAGCTATGTACCTAAAGGAGGAGGAAGATATTTTAGTGTGAGTCCTGTCAGTAACACAAATGACTGAAGCAACATCACTGAAGGGCAGTTTTGCTTCAAGTGGTCGTTTTCATTTTTGACAATCTCAGAGACTCAAATCAAGTAAAGGAATATAATTACATCAAGTAGAATGTCATGCACTCTCAATATATTTATTGCGCAAATAAGTATAATTTACCCAGGATGGCAGCAGTGGAAAATGAACACATTTCCATTTGGATTATTCATTTGATTGTTTCATTTCAAAAGCCGCTGTCATGTCTCGGAAACTTATCATGAAAGTCTATTCTTTATATTAGTTTTGTCATGTCCCTTTGTTTTGTGCCCTCTGTCTTATTGTAAAAAGTATTCCTCCTCTCGTTTCAGAACTCCATGCTCCCCGACCCTATGTGTCTCCTGTGTTTGTGATTGGTTTCGCCGCCCTGATTGTTTCCACCTGTCCCCCTCACCTTGTGTATATATTGTGTTAGTCCCCACCTGTCCAGTGCCAGTTCGTTTCTTATTCATGACCACGTTCAAGCCTGCTCCATGGTCGTATCCTGTTTTCTCATGATCACGATTATTGCATTTAGTTTTTCCTCGGAAGAGTGATTTTGTGTTTCTTGTTTTTGTTACTGTGTTAATTCCAGTAAAGTCTTTATTTTTGAATACCACCCGAGTCTGAGTCTGAGTTGTGCATTTGAGTTCATGCCTCTGAGTTCACCCCTTGACAGCCGCTCAGCTAGTTTGGACAAAATTGACAGTCTTGAGGACATTTGCTGGAAATGAATGACCACTTTGTCATCACCAACAGCGAGTGTCAATTAAGTGGGGCAAATTACCTATTTCCAGTTCCTTTTTACAGTATGTTTATCCGCGTCCGTCCCTTTAGCAGTCCTGTTAAGACTCCGACATTCTTGTGATTCGTTCCAGGACAGCCTGCTAAATTTCAATTATCATAGACTATTCGTTTATTTGGTTTCATGTAGTGTTTGGAATTCTGATCCTTGACAAAAGTAACTTAAATAAAGTTTTAGTGTGATAGTTGAATCATGTGTGTACCAAATCTGGCAGGCCTGCAGATGTGCTGCCGCTGATCAGCCAAGCTAAGATATTGATATGTTCAAAAATGTGCACTTTGGACTGCCCAACCCATAGTGCAGTAGATACAGTGGGGCAAAAAAGTATTTAGTCAGCCACCAATTGTGTAAGTTCTCCCACTTAAAAAGATGAGAGAGGCCTGTAATTTTCAACTATGAGAGACAGAATGGGGGGAAAGAATCCAGGAAATCACATTGTAGGATTTTAAATGAATGAATTGGTAAATTCCTCGGTAAAATAAGTATTTGGTCACCTACAAACTCCACTATGGCCAAGACCAAAGAGCTGACAAAGGACCTGCACCAGGCTGGGAAGACTGAATCTGCAATAGGTAAGCATCTTGGTGTGAAGAAATCAACTGTGGGAGCAATTATTAGAAAATGGAAGACATACAAGACCACTGATAATCTCCCTCGATCTGGGGCTCCACGCAAGATCTCACCCCGTGGGGTCAAAATGATCACAAGAACAGTGAGCGAAAATCCCAGAACCACACGGGGGGACCTAGTCAATGACCTGCAGAGAGGTGGGACCAAAGTAACAAACGCTCCCATCAGTAACACATTACGCTGCCAGGGACTCAAATCCTGCAGTGCCAGACGTGTCCCCCTGCTTAAGCCAGTACATATCCAGGCCCGTCTGAAGTTTGCTAGAGAGCATTTAGATGATCCAGAAGAGGATTGGGAGAATGTCATATGGTCAGATGAAACCAAAATAGAACTTTTTGGTAAAAACTCAACTAGACGTGCTTGGAGGAGAAAGAATGCTGAGTTGCATCCAAAGAACACCATAGCTACTGTGAAACATGGGGGTGGCAACATCATGCTTTGGGGCTGTTTGTCTGCAAAGGGACCAGGACGACTGATCCGTGTAAAGGACAGAATGAATGGAGCCATGTATCGTGAGATTTTGAGTGACAACCTCCTTCCATCAGCAAGGGCATTGAAGATGAAACGTGGCTGGGTCTTTCAGCATGACAATGATCCCAAACACACCGCCCGGGCAACAAAGGAGTGGCTTCGTAAGAAGCATTTAAAGGTCCTGGAGTGGCCTAGCCAGTCTCCAGATCTCAACCCCATAGAAAATCTTTGGAGGGAGTTGAAAGTATGTGTTGCCCAGCGACAGCCCCAAAACATCACTGCTCTAGAGGAGATCTGCATGGAGGAATGGGCCAAAATACCAGCAACAGTGTGTGAAAACCTTGTGAAGACTTACAGAAAATGTTTGACCTCTGTCATTGCCAACAAAGGGTATATAACAAAGTATTGAGATGAACTTTTGTTATTGACCAAATACTTATTTTCCACCATAATTTGCAAATAAATTCTTTAAAAATCAGATAATGTGATTTTCTGGATATTTTTTTCTCATAGTTGAGGTATACCTAGGATGAAAATTACAGGCCTCTCTCATCTTTTTAAGTGGGAGAACTTGCACAATTGGTGGCTGATTAAATGCTTTTTTGCCCCACTGTATGTAATGCTCTGTGGTTGTCTGTTGTGTGAGGAAAGGCATTAGGCTTGAGCAAATAGGTTCAGGTGAATTGTTTTTTTCTTTTTGTGAAGGTTTCTCTTTCTACTTCTTGTATTACTACAATTGCTCTTCTAATAATGTTTATACGTGACTCTTCTTTGATTTGGAAACGGGTACATTTCAGTGTTTCCCTTATATACAAATAGCGGCGGCGCAGCGGGGTTACACTTTTCATTTGCCCTGTACGATGGGCGCTGTAAGTGATGAAAGTGGGGGATGTTGGCTTATCATGCGCCCGCAGCTCACAGCCAAAGTGCGAGCGTGGGAGCGAGAGAGCGAGGGCGCACCGGTACCGGTGCTGTTGTTATTAGAATCTGGTGCTAGCTGCGCTAACGGATATAAGAAGTAGATGTTTATTTTCTTTTTTTACAAGTCTTTTTATTTCATTATAGTGTACAGTAATCGATGCCATTTCATTTATATTGTAATATCACAGTACCACAGTACACTCCCCCCTCCCTCCCTCCACCCGCAAAAAAATGCTTATCAATATAACTTAAACAACAGAGCCATGAAAATAAACATAAAACGAAAAAAAAAACCTGCATCAAAGTAAAACAAACAAATAATTATACAATACAGCGACAATATAGACAATGACAACACAACTAGTATTTCCGGCCGTCAGGCAAAATAGCCACAGAGTGCACCATTCCATCAGTGGTCATATCTCAGATATATTTTCCAAATAAGAAAACACTGGCAACCACAGAGCTTGAAAGATATGTCCACGATTATATTTTTCCAATGTCATTTTCTCCAGAGGTAAAAAATGTGTTATCTGATCAATGAAAAGTTTAAATGTTGGAGGACGTTCATTCTTCCAGAGTAAAAGTATACATTTCTTGGCAAAATATGTTATTGTGATTAGTATTCTGTAATGTTTGGGGTTCAGTTTAAAGTTTGGCATGTCATTTAACAGGAAAAAACATGGATTTTGGCTCATTTCGATGCCTAAAACGGCTTTTGTGAGCGCATGAATCGAATCCCAGAAATGTTTCAAGAGATCACAGTCCCAAAACAGATCCATAAATGTTCCTTCTTTTACTTTACATCTCGGACATTTTGAAGAGTTTTCTTTGGAATTGCTATGCATCTTTATGGGTGTGAGGTAACATTTGTTGAGAAATTTGAAGTTCGCTTCTTTGATTGTATTGCTTGTGAATGGAAAATGTGTCCTTTCACAGATATTCAGCCAAGTAGTTTCATCTATCTGTATCCCTAAGTCCTTAGCCCAGATCTTTTTTAAAGTGGGAAAGGATGACTGAGCTCTTTTAGAAAAAACTGCATTAAATTCTCTAATTTTACCTTTGATCGTGCTCAATGACATCAATATCTCCTCCTCTTCCAACAATCCCGATCTCAATTTATTGCTTTTAATAATTGAGTGGATCACGTTCCTAATTTGCAGGTATTTGCAGGAAAAAAATCCTTATTTGAAATGTCATATTCTGCTCTTAAATCATTAAATGATTTCAATGTTATATCTTTGTGGAACAAATGTTTCAATTGCTTTATACCTGATTTCGTCCATTTGTTTATATTAATTGACAACAAATATTTGCTAAGATCAGGATTGTTCAAAATAGGAGAAAAGATTGAAATACCTGAGTTAACATGAACTTTTTTTGTACAGTCCCTCCAGGCTAAAAGTGTATTGACCACTGTAAAATATTTGGCCATATTTTTCACCTTATTGAAGTCTTTAACAAATATAAGAGTTTCCACTGGCAACGGGTCAAAGGTATTGGCTTCTATCTGAACCCATAGTGAATCCTTTCTTCCCAGAGACCAAGATAGTACATTTCTTAATTGAGCTGACCAGAAGTAGTGTTGAAAGTTGGGAAGACCAAGACCACCCATAGTTTCTGGTTTTATAAGAGTAATTAACTTGATTCTTGGTTTTTTATTACACCAGATACATTTTGAGATGTGTCTATTGAGAGATTCAAAATAGTCAGCGGATAAATAGCATGGTAACATTTGAGAAAGAAAAATACATCTCGGTAGAATATTCATTTTTATGACATTGATTCTTCCTAGCAGTGATATTGGTAATGTGAACCATTTAGATAAATCCTGTTTGATTTTGTCAATGAGTGGATTGTAATTCTCTTTAAACAGATTATCCAGGTGTGGTATTATATTTATTCCTAAGTATTTAAAGCCACCTGGTGACAAATTAAAAGAACAAGACTTTTCCAAATTTGCTGTTGGCGTCATATTTAAGAAACAAGCATTCGATTTCTTAAAATTAATTTTATATCCTGAGTATCTTCCAAATTGCTCTATCGTGTTGTGCAAGTGTGGTACTGCATTTTCTGGGTCTGTTAAGTAAAGAATGATATCGTCAGCATAC